GCTGAAGGCAAGGAAGTTTACATGATGTCGACGGATGTGGCACTGTTGTACGCGCCTGAGCTTAAGATGGCCGTGGAACGGTTTGCCAACGACGAGGCATTGTTCAAGAAGGTCTTTGCATCGGCCTGGGCCAAGGTCATGACGGCCGACCACTTCAATGCCAGCAGCTATTGAGTATACAGTACTGCTGCTGGATTTGTACCCATTGACGTGTAAACGACTCGTGCGACATACGACGCCTTTTGCGGGGGGTCGTGACGAGGAGTTTAGTAGTTGCCGACGTGTATACGGTTGTAAAATGTTAGAGCCTAACATCAAAAAGACGGTGACAAAAGCATCGGATATAATTGCGCAACTCGTACTTTTGGGGCTATCGCTAAGCTATTCATATCTTGAATGGCCGCTTGCTAGATGAATAATGGATTCTCCATTCCCTGAATGCATTCTCTGCAACATTACCTCGCGCATGGCACCCATTTTTTGAATCCGATAATGGATCATAGAACACACAACGACAAGCTTCTGTTGCAAGGGCTACACACGCCTGATGCAATGGGTCTCAAAACAGCACTCGCAAACACATACGAAACCTGTAAACGACGACCAACATTGTTTTAAAGACCAACTGTCCAACCTAACTCTTCCATTTGTACTGTCGAACGGTTACCGCAAGCAGCGTGACTTCTTGTAATCGGTGTCGGATGCGTCTGCACAAAAATGTCGCCCTTTTAAGTGACTTGAAGCATATCGAATCATTCGGAGGCACAGCACGAAAAACTAGAGAAGCGAGAAAGCTGACACATCGAACTTGTCGAGGTTTGGATGCGTATGGCTGAATGGCTAGTTGGCAAAATCGGGGAATACACGTCTCACACGATTATTTAAAAACAGTATTTTGACAAGATCGAACACAAATGTTTGGAAGTAGCGTGTAGCGGAGCTGCACAGCTCCTTAAGTCAGAGGAGGACTTACCGCTCAACGAGCAACTTAGTTCTAATCAACTAGACTCAATGAGTCAACAAGCGTAAAACTTATGGTCCTTGTTCCAGGGGACCAAACGATTCAGTGAATCCACAGCACTTAGTGCTCAAGCGTAACTAGCTACCTCAAGGAGGTGTTGCCAACTCTTAGTGATCAGTGATCAACGGCCAAAGACGCCTCGCAAGGCACGTGTCTTTAAGATCAAAAGGGAACTGGATTTTATCTGCATTTAAACCTATAGAATATCTGAATCCTAATCTAGACACTCATGTCCAGATCTTAGTACAACTAAGATCTCTCCTATCTGGTGGCTGACACCAGTCAGCCCCTACAAACCGATAAGATATTCTATGTTTCTTTCAGTGGGATACCATTCGTGTATCTAAGACAGGGTACCAAGTACCCAACTACGTGTAACCTCTTTTTATCCTCCTCCACCAGACTGACGTTTACCTAAACGTCAATCGAACTTTGTTCTTCCACGAGGTCAGTGCGCTTGCGGCTCACCTCGCGGTAACGTAAAGCTTAGCACGATGTCCTCATCACCTAACGAGTCAAAGACTCCCAGTGATTACCTCGAAATGAGGGAAGTTTTGGACTATGGTAGCAATGCCAGTGTCCCGGGTGATGCAGGTACAATGTCTGGTACACCCATGTCCGAAGTACAACCTCGTACTGCCCCCTGTCCGTTCCCTGATCATGATAATGAGAATTCGCCATTGGCGCCACGCTCAGCACCCGGTTCGGATAATGCCATCTTAACGAACGCGCTCAATGAGCAGCAACAGTTACTTGTTAAACAAAGAGAAAGCGCTCGGCGCCATGCGCAAATGGTCGCAACCCTCGAGCACCAACGTGACTATACGATCACTTCACCCAGTGTGGAGGAACGCTAACGTCAAACGAACGGCCAATCGTTGGCAACGTGGGTCATTGACCATAGGTCTAAGTCTCCCAAGGGATGGAGATCGGACAGGCACTTCGCGAGAGGTACCTAGAGCCTCACCTAACGACCTAAGGTCAATACAAGGCACGTCTTGACACGCAAGCACGTGGTGCACCGGTCCCACCCGATCAAGGGTATGCCCATTCTCTTGTTTGCAGGCGAACCAGAGAGCGAAGAATACAATGCCTTCGCCCGCTGGGTGCACTGATACGTCGCCTCAGCAGTGTGTCTGCTCTAAGAGCTCGTGCCAGTGTGGCTGTGCGTCTCGAAAGTAAGCTTCGGTATGACTATGCCAAGCTTAAGGCCAGAGGTCAATTGCATAATCGCACGCGATATGCTTCGGCTACTACGGTAGTCACGAGCGTTGGTCAAACTATGACCACCTCCCCTCCAAATCACACCGATAGTGGAGGGAATCGTCCTCGGTCTCAAGATAACCACGATGTTCAAAAACATCCAAAGCATTAGGAAAATCTTGCCGGAGGGGTACCTCGTATTCTCATGAGTTCTCCGACTCAGGATGCCCACGCCATTTTACCAGATACTGGCATTGGCCGTGACGACGAATTCATTTTGGTAGTCTTTCAACATGAAACTGACGACACCCATGCTCATCGAGCAGCGTCGGTGGTGGCCGGTATAACGGTGGCAGTCCACGATAAATTGGGTTTCGAAGTGAAGAGTCTTCAAGAGAACTTGGGTAAGACCCAGTGCATGCTTGATGCGATGCAGAGTCGCCTTTAGGCAATGGAGCATGCTCAAACTCGGAGCGAGGCTCAGTTGGACTTGCTGATTCGCTTGCAGCGATCCGGGGCACCGCCCTCGTCGTCGGCGCAAGAGCCTTAAAGTTCACGCGGGAAGGATCCCGGTACGGCTTAAGTAAGCCCACGTAAAATACTGGGTGTGTGCGCAATTTGCGCGAAAGGTTGAGCGTATACGCACAGCTCTTCTTGGTTTTGATCTAAAACGGTCCGATGAAGCGTGGGCGCAACTTTGTATTGGATAGAGCAGACACTACATTTGTAAATAGGTTTTTAGCATTGAGTAATACTTGGTCTCCGAACTTTTAACTTTCAATACAATATCTTCATTTGGCATCAGTTTGTTGTTTTTGTTTATCGTGGCTATCAACCATTGCGTCACGCACATGTCGTAAGACATTCAATTGCGTTGCAAGAAACGCGCCTACCTGTATTTGAACAGTAGCCGGACTGATATCAGCAAGCCGATCGGCAATCTCTCCCTTACCAAGCCCTGAACCATCGAGTGATAGCGTTTTTTACGGAACGAGAGGGTGGGTGAGACCGTTTACGTAAAACGGCGTAAAACCTATGGAGGCATGAACAGCGTTGTTCAACGTAGATTTAACAACAGGAAACACTGAGCTCCAACGACTTGTCGTATCAACGCAAACACTGCGCAAAATGTCATTGATGACGCGATCAACTCGCTCATTTGGACCATCAGTCTGCGGATTACTCTCTACGATCACGTCCAACCTGGTGCCCAGAACCTTGGAGATGGAAGTCCAAAACTTTCCAATGAAACGTGGATCACGATCAGAGACAATTCCCACAGTAAAACAATGCTGTCCAAACACACGATCGATAAATAGCTTTGGTGTGCCTTCAGCATCGATCGTATCCGGCCCAGCCGCTAATTGAGCCATCTTGCTCAAACGTTTGACAAAGGCCACAATACCAATGTGCCTTCCGAATCTTTCGGTAGGCCGAACGCAAAATCCAAACTCATGGATTCCCAACACTTAGTGGTACAGGCAGACTAGCCAGCGGCGCAGCCGCATGTGCAGAGGGTTTGACCCGTTAACACGTTTGGCACGTAGGCACATAGGTGCACACCCATTTAAATAGTTTAAGCCGCAAATAAGTCTAGCTCACCAAGCCATGGGTCTTCTCACGACCGAGGTGACCGCTCAAAGCGGTATCATGTGCCTCATAGAGGATTCGATGCTTCAATTTCTCATCGTGAGTGACAGCAAAACGAGGGGTATCCTCATATCCGTGCTATAGCCCAACAGGCCATTATCGATAAGATATCGATGTAGCCTCGCACGCAAACGTGCCGACAATTCTATGTCCGAGTCTTTAAACTCATCGCTCCCAAGAGTCCGTAGCATGCTACATAGTGTTCATCCTTTGCATAAGCCGCACGGATTAATTCAGTGAATGATTACGACAATATAGTAACATGGGCAACCTCATTGTCAGGTCGGCGCGATAGCACGTCAGCCAAGGTATTTTGCCCATCAGCCTAGACATTTTGCATTCCTGGCTTATACTTCACCTCGAAGTTATTTTTGGCAAAGAAGGAAAGCAAACGAGCCATTCCCTGAGAGAGTTGCGGCGACTGTAAATCGTTGCACAATGACTCATGATCATTAAAGATCACAAAAGGCTTTGAGACAAGGAAATGCACTCTGAATTTGACTAGAGCATACTTTAAAGCAAGTAGCTCTTTGTCATGAGTTGATTAGTTCCTTTCAGCAGTTTTAAGATGGCGAGACTCGAATGCAATGACGCGCTCGCATCCATCAACATCTGTGTGCAACAGAGCACTTTCAATAGCAAATTCTGATGCGTCACAGACGACACTGAAGGGACGATCAGGATTGGGAAAGCCAATTTTGGCGCATGAAGAAAACGCTTCCTAACCGTTTTAAAAGTATCGTGATTGGTAATGCACCAACAACAATCTAAATCCTTTTTGGGAGATTGGATAATGGCCAAGCCGTGTCTGCGTAATTTGCACTAAACTTTTGCAATAAATCGGCAAGGCCAAGCCACTTGCGTAAGTCCTTTTGGTTTTCAGGAACCGGCCAATCGACTATGGCCCTTACCTTAGCGGGGTCCGCTCGAGCGCCTCTCCTCCCATCGAAGCACCTAGAAAGGAAATCTCTTCTGCACCAAAGATGCACTTAGATGCATTAGCGAACAATTTGTTCGTGCGCATGCACTCGAGCACCGCTCGTGAATGATCAATGTGGTTATCCACATCTGATCGACCATTCGTGTGAAGACTATGGACAAAGATGTCGTCAAAGTACGTTTGTGCATAACCTCGATGAGGTCAGAACAGTTGCATCACCAGACCTTTATAAGTAGCCGTGTGGCGTTCGACAGCACTTGTGGCATAGCGAGCCACTCCCAGAGCATACCGCTCGGAGTAATCACCGCTGTTAGCGGAATATCACTTGGTCGCATGAGTAGCTGGTAATAACCGTCGACT